AGAGGTAACTCAGTGAATATTATCCAAGAAGATGGCTTGAGGGAAAAGCAGAGGCATTTGGCAGGAGACAGCTCAGAAGGCATCAAGTGATTAGGCGACAGTACAAAGTCTTACAAAAGGGGGGATGGCAACACCACTGTGATTCTTGGTATGCTTGAATTCATTACATTTCATGTCCCTATGATGCCCTCCCTGCTCAGTCAGCACCCTGACTTCTGCCTTAGTCCTCTGCTGGGCAGTGAAGCACAGCCTTCACTAATGGGAAGATCAGGGGACAGGGTCCAGACAACTGACCAGGATCTCTCACTCCTATGCCCAGGAGCCAAAGTTGGTAAAAGATATGCAAAAATGTACAAATCCACAATCACAGGGAAGTCTTAACATACTTCTCTAAAAATTGAGAGCCCAAATGTATAAAATTTGAACATGACACTTAACAAATTTGAGATATATATGTGTGTGTGACACTTAACAAATTTGATACACACACACACACACACACACACACACACACACACACACACACACACACATACACATATAGTTATAACTCTACGTCCAGATTACTATTTTTAACTTTTGGCACTACACTTTTATGGTGCTTATGATACATCAGGCACTTTACAGCTATTAACTCATTCAAATAATTAAAGGAGTACACATTCTTTCTTAGGTTACATGGGACTTATAAAAGTGATCCTATACTGAGTCACAAAGCAAGTCTCACAGATACCAAAAATTCAATGTCTATAGATTTTATTATACATGGTAAAAGGACAAAAACATTTAAGAAAGCAGGTTCCTTGACAAAGGAAAGGAGAAGCAGGGAGAAACGGAAATGAGTGAAGAGGTGAAGTTTTAGCTCTACCTAAACTGATATAAAGAATAAGAAAGGAATAAGGAAGTAGAGGGGGGAAATGGGGTGAAGGCAGTAGGACAGAGTAAGGAAGAAAGGAAAAGAAAAATCCAAATGGAAGGATATTGTACAAAAATAACTGGCCTGTATTCTTATGTCAATGTCATGAAAGACAAAGCTAGACTGAGGAATTGCTCAGAGTAAAAGAGACTAAAGGCATACAACAGAGAGCAATGCATGATCCAAGATTTTCTTTTACTTACAGGACATTATTACGACAAGTGGTAAATGGTGATCAAGATCTGTGGATTAGATAGCAGTATTGTATCCATGCTAGTTTCCTGGATTTTGATAATTGTTCTATGAATATGTAAGAGAATGTCCTTGTTTTTAGAAAACAAGCACTGGGATATTCAGGGGGGAAATAGGCATGTTTGCAAATTTCTACTAAGTAGTTCACAAAATATAATCTGTGTATGCAATATAGAGAAACAAAGGTAAAGCCAATGTGGGAAAATATTACCATTTGGGAAACTGCGAAGGGTGTATGGGCATTCTTTGTAATACTCTTTCAGGGAGGCATCATCACCCACAGAAGGCTGCCTTCGAATAAACTGAAACACGGTGCCATCAGGTGGCTGCAATCCTCCACAGGATTTTGCAAGCAGAGGAGGTGAGAGCCTAGTCCTCTCTTCCCACTGGAGCCTAGTGGCCCCACGAACAACCTGCTCAACTTTTCAGCCCTGACCCTTCCTCTTATTTATCTATAAATGGAAGTTTCTCTTTGACAGGATAAATTAATGAGCATTAAAACACATCTCAAATTTGTATACCCATTGTTCAGTTCCTGTGCATGTAGGCCATGTTGTTCAGTCAGCATTTACAGGATGCTCATTGTAAACAAAGCACTGCATTAGATATAGTAGAAAAATACAAAGATAATAAAACACAGCCAAATGTCGTTCCAAACCCACACCTGACAGGGACAGAAAAAGCCTGAGAGCCAGTGTGTGTTAGTGGTTATACTGTCTACTTTCATTTTCGCAGCCTCATTTAATTTTCATAACAATTCTGGGAAGTAGGTTTCATTTATTCTCATTTTTTATGAGTAAACCCAGAGAAGTTAACTTGCCCCAAATTATAGAAATACTAAATGACAAAGCCAGGAGTATCACGCCTGAGTTATCAAGTCTGTCTGACTCCAAAGTCCATGTTCCTTCCATATCACATTTTGTAAGTCACAAGTACACGAATACAGAAAATTTTCACTTACTCAACACTCTTGGGGATGAGTCATGCTGGACAGATGAGTAAGTGAAAGGCCATCCCCTAGGAAATATTGTCTAAGACTGTCCCAAGTTAGAGCAGAGAAGACTGCAAAACCTCTGGAGAAAGTCTTTTCCTTTCTGTAGCTCTTTTCCCTCTTGGGCTTCTGGGATTTGAAACCTGGCACACCTGGTCTCTAGCTGAAACATTCTCTATGAAAACTCCAGCAGAAGATGGAGTTTTCCTTGTGCTCCCCCGAAGCATAAATGAGATAGAATGATAATTCAGAAATAATTTTAGAACGTGCAAAAGGAAAATAAAATAGGAAATAAAGAAAACACAACCAACATTAAAAGCAGTTGGGTTGTCAAAGCATAGCTTTCTGATACCAGCAAAGACACCTACACAATCCTGTACCTTAAAACATGGGTCCCCAACCTTTTTTGGCATCAGGGATTGGTTTCATGGAAGACAATTTTTCCACAGATGGGGTTAGGATCTAATACCTGAAATCATCAAGCATTAGATTCTCACCAGGATCGCTAGACCTAGATCCCTCACATGCACAGTTCACAATTGGGTTGGTGCTCCTTTGAGAATCTATTGCCACTGCTGTTCTTCTCACTGGTGGAGCTTCTCTTGCCCACCACTCACCTCCTGCTGTACGGTCTGGTTTCTAATAGTCCATGGCCCCAGAGGTTTGGGGGACCCTTCCTTAAAACACTGTCCCTTGGCCCTAGAGGGTTTATGGCTTTGCAGGTCTGTTTCCCATCTCATTTGTCAGTATTTTGCTGTTTCTTGGCCAAGTAGCTTTCAGTATTTATCTTATCATTAGTCCTAGAAATGAGTCTAATGACTCACTCTACTGCTTCCATATGTCACCTCCCTGAATTTTAGTTTTCTCATCTGTTTAAAAAGAAAATAAGAAAAATTTCTAACTCATAAAGATCAAGTTGGGGAAACTGTGTAGGCATGTAACACATACTAAACACTCATAAGTTATTTCTCTTCTCTTTTCCCATCTCTGCACAAATAATAATTATAGCTAACGGTTGAGCACTTATGATGTCCCATACACTGTTCTAAGCACTTTACACACATTAACCCATTTAATCCTCACTATAACCTCATGAGGTAGATTCAATGACTACCTTCATTTTAGAGATGAAGACACTAAGGCATAGAGAGAACAAGTTTGTCCAAGTTTAAACAGCTAGTAGGTAGCAGAGCTAGGACTGTATCTAGCCAGTTAGTCTCCAGAACCAGCATTTCTAATCACCACATACAAACTCGACCCTCTGTATTGAAAGTCAACCATTCACAACTGTGCTCTACTCAGTCCACTTTTCCAGTCTATCTCCATTCCCAACCAGGACCTACAAGCTGATACCAGAGCAAGAACAGGTAGAATTGAGGGAACACAAAGAGCCTACAAATGTATCCTAACATATACAGACATATCACCAAGAGGCAGCTACTTTATAATCTTCTGTACTGTTTGAATTATTAGAGTAGGCATGTAATACTTCTGAAAACAATTTTTTAAAATGCAGATTCATTTTGGGGAAAAAATTATCAAGTCTAGCAAGTTTGGAAAGGAAGAAGAGATTATATATAGAAGGGAGTGAAGGGAGTTTTTTGTTTTGCTGTTTACTGTCAGCTTAAGTGCACTAAAAAGACAACTTATCAGGAAATAGTGAATATTCTCCCTTATCATTATGACAGTGGTTAAGAACAAGGGTTAAGACAGGCATGGTTTGAATTCTAGCAACACTACTTTACTGTTGGAACTTTACCTAACCTCTCTGAGTGTGTTCTTATCAAGGAATAACACCTATCATGTAAAGATATTGTTAGGCTTAAGTAAGACTGTGCAATTAAGTTATTTGGTATAGAGCTATATTCATCACAAGTATTCAATATTTTTCTTTCTATAACATCACTTTAATAGTTGAAGAGTATCCCATCTCATGGGGATGTGCCATGATTCATTTAACCAGTTCCACACTGTTCAACATTTGGATAATTTCAATAGTATCAATAATAGCCAGCTGTGTTGGCTGATGCCTGTAATATCAGCTCTTTGGTAGGCTGAGGTAGGAAGATCACTTGAGCCCAGGGGTTCAAGGCTGCAATAAGCTATGGTTGCAGCACCGTACTCTAGCCTGAATGACAGAGTGGGACATTGTCTCTTAAAAAAAAATCAATAATATAAACAATATAGAATTTTCCCCATACATTTCTGTTTATTTCTTTAGGGTTAAGTCCTATGAATGATCTGCTAGATCAAAAGAGATGAGTAAACTTTTGACATCCATTTCAAATGACCTACCAATATATAGCTTTAACAAGTAAAACCTTCTCTATATTATATTAAAGAGATTTAATATATTAATTTAATATCTTGCCGATGTTGCACATCTATGCTAATTTTACAGGTCAAGAAAAAAATCCAACTTACATTGCTATTTATTCTACATATTAGACATTCCAATTTCTTCTTCTGTTATATTATAAAGCTCTTGAACTTCTTAAATTAACTGAAGTACTAGATTTGCAAAAAAATAGGAAAATAATTTAAAAGGTAAAAATGTTAGCTGGGCTTAGTGGCTCAGCCTGTAATCCCAGCACTTTGGGAGGCCAAGGCGAGTGGATTGCCTGAGCCCACGGGTTCGAGACCAGCCCAGGCAACTTGGTGAGACCTCGTCTCTACAATAAATAATTAGCTGGGCATGGTAGCATGCGCCTATAGTTCCAGCTACTTGGAAGGCTGGGACAGAAGGACTGCCTGAGCCCAGCAGGTCAGCGCTGGGGTGGTCATAAGCATGTATGCCACTGCACTTCAGCTTGGGTGACACAGTGAGACTCCAAAAAAAAAAAAAAAAAGTTCATGTGGTATATTGCAAAGGTGGCATTTCAAGTCATTTATGAGGATACATTTTCCCAATACTTTTCAAAGTATTCCCTGCAGCCTCCCCTTGAGGGGACAGTGAAAATGTGTATAGGAGGTGCTGGATGGTTGGGATAGTTCTCAGTCCTTCCCACTTCAACTACATTTATCTGCTTTGCATATTGAATTCATTGTTAAGGTTTGATCTGAAGAGTTCTGTACCTGAAAAAAACAACAACAACAACAACAACGCACATTAATGCAAAGTTTTGAGATAACTGGCATTTTGTAATAAATAAATAAAATAAGTTGAATCACTCTCTTACATCACATACAAAAACACCTTTCAACTGGATTAAAACATTTAAATGGAAAAACTTTAAATAAATTACAAGAAAATATGAGAATGCATTAATGGATCATAGGGATGCAGAAGACCTTTTCATGCACATTGATAAAAGCAAAAATCATAACAAGTGGTGTTGTCTGTATTGCTTTTTTCGTAAAGTGTGTGCCTCTGACACAGGTTCAAAATGGTTTAATGGCCAAAGTGTGGAAATGCCACATATTAATAATAGTGCCAAGAGGTGGCTTAGGGCACTAACACCCCCATTATCCCTATAGCATCTCTAAATAATCACAAAATGTGCACTCCAAATGAAACAAGGTGCAGAAGGACATATCTTAATGTCATATGCCCCAAGCAGATGCCAGACACTAAGCCCTTCTCCCTAGACATTCTGGAGTCATCACTGCTGCTCTCTGGAAAGTCACAATGGCATTAGCACAGAAAGGCTCCAAGAAGTCCTACAATGGAAAAGTATAAAACTAATTTAATCTATGTTTAACTACAGAACACTTCCTTCAACATGATGCCTATTAATATCCTAAGAATTCGAGGCATATACCCTGCCAGACGCCAGACTATGTGGAAATTAATATTTGAACAGGAAAATGCTGCATGGGACGTGCTTGTCAAGGATGTGGTCCATTTACTATGAATTTACCGATGCTCAATTGGAGGCACTCTCCAATGTGATCTGTGGACACCTTGGCCTGATACTTTAATTTAGTACACACGTGTAACTTCCTACAATAAACTTCTGCTCACCTAAATAACAATCCCTTCTTGCAGACTGCCTTGGATTTTAATTCTTACACATCATCATTATGGTTCACTTACATCTTAAATGACACAATATAAGATGCGTGATATAAAATATTATATGGAATAATGTGAAAGAATTTAAATTATCCAGAGGGTTAAAAAATAATTGTGCAGGATTACACCTGTGCTCTTCTGCAGTTATAGATGTAAAAAATGTATCAGGTACTGCTTGTTCTGATTTTTATGCCATACTCACAAAAGGAACTGAATTAGACTTTGTTTGGGGGGGTCAGAGTTACATGGTTCAAAGAGAGGGATCAGGCCCTTCTACAAAAACAAAAGACTGTTACTAGAATGAGGATATAACAAGTGTTTCACTTAAGTACACTCTTAAACTTTATTTTCTTTCATATTTTTTAGGTTGCAAACAAAGGGGAAAAGCAGGAGGATGAGGCAAAGGTAACACAACTGCAGTGATAAGTATTTTCCTGCTCCAATGACACTAGTTATTTCATTTAAAATTAATGGTGATTTTGGCTGGAGGTGGGGTTTAAAATAAATAGTCATTTTGGCCAGGTGGGGTGGCTCACAACTGTGATACCAGCACTCTGCTTGAGCCCAGAAGTTCAAGATCTGTCTAGGCAACAATGGCAATATTTTGTCTCTACAAAAAAATAAAAAATAAAAAATTAGCCACGCATCAGGGTATGTGCCTATAGTCCTAGCTACTCAGGAGGCTGAGGCAGAAGGATCACCTGTGACCAGGCAGTCAAAAAGCTGCAGAGTTGTAGTGAGCTGTGATCGTGCCACTGCATTCCAGTGTGGGTGACAGAGTGAGACTTTGACTCAAAAACAAAACAAAACTAGTAATCTGAATTGTAAAATGTTAGGTTTATGACCATTAAAATTCAACTTATGATCTATTTCTATATTAAATGTGTCTCTGTATGTTTAAAAATGTCAATACAAATAACATCTGTTTGCATACATACAATGTACTAACTTCTAGGTCTTTTGAACAAATGCAAGATAATCAGATCTTATATTTTAACACATATTTTTGTGCTACAAAATCCCGGAAAACTAATTTTATTTGAGTATTATTTGGTAACTCTCTGTAAAGTAGTCTTATCCATCTTAAGATAAGGTTAGTATTTTTAAGCATTTGAAATCTGAATTAAATAGTATCTAATCTAACTATTACTCGGAACCAAAAAAATAATAATTCTTTACTGAATATTTACTATTTTACTTATAGCAACTAAGTTGTTACAAATTCAAGTATATGCATGTATGTTTGTGTGTGTGTGTTTTATACAATTTGTTAGTAGAAAAGTGGCACTGACAGTTATAGTACTGAGTTTATTGCATGACATGTGATGACTCAACTCTCCCACTTCTTTTCTCTACCAAAATGATCACAAAATCTTTTATCACAATGTCCTCTGGCTTTCAACTGATACCAAAAAATCCTAAATTCAATGTGAACTCAGGCACTCAAAACTTCATGTTTTAAAGTGCTCATCTGGAAAATAATAAATATTACTTTGCTTTAGGTTAGCAGCAAAATGACAACATAAAATTTAAAAAACAACATACACTTGGATCTCAGGCTGAGACACACTGTCATGGATGATAGACATTCATTCATTCAACAATATTTATTGAAGCTATTGTGTGCTTGGTACAGGGAATCCAACAATCAACAAACCACCTGCCTTTATAAAGAGCCCTATAGTCTGGAGGAAGGAGGACAAAATACCAGTAATTATATACGTTCAGATGATTAGTGGTATAAAGAAAACGAGTGGGATAAGGGAATGGAGAAAAAGATAGAGGGGCTGTTTTAGAGAGGTTGGTTAGGAAAGGCATCTCACTGGAGCTGAGATCTGAGCAGACATCTACATGAATTCAACCTGGGAGAAGAACAAGTATAAACGCTGAGACAGGAACGTACTTGGGAGTGTTTGAGGACCAACAAGGAAGCCAGTGTGGCTGAAACACACAAGCCACAGAAATGTCAGAGAAGCCAGAAGTCAGATCACACAGTGTCCGATATGTTGTAGTGATGATTTTGTTGGTCTTCAGTAAAGAAATGGGGTTGAAGGACGCATGCTTTAGACAGACTGAATATAGAACTTCTAGCTTTAGAGCTCAACTTTTTTTTCTTTTACTTTAAAAAATTAATTTTATTGTGGTATAATTTACTGTTAACAAAAATACACTCATTTTGGGACTTATTATTATTATCATTATATTTGAGTCGGAGTCTCACTTTGTTGCTCAGATTGGAGTTGCAGTGGCATGCTCACAACCACTGCAGTCTTGACCTGTTGTCCTTTCACCTCAGTCTTCTAAGTAGCTGGAATCACAGGTGCACACCACCACATGTGGCTAATTTTCTATTTACTATAGAGATGAGGTTTTGCCAATTTGCCCAGGCTGGTCTCAAACCTCTGGGCTCAGGCATTTCTCTTGCCTCTGCCTCCCAAAGTGCTGGGATTACAGACGTTGAGCTACCATGCCTGGCCAAGGACAAATTACTTTTAATGTGCATTCAGAGGACCTAGTGCCGTGACGTCCAATACTGAAACTACACTAACCACATGTGGCTAAATTAAACAACATTAACAATCTTCAGTTGTACTGGCCACATTTCAAGTGCCTAACAGCTACATGTGGCTAGTGGCTGCCATATTGAACAGCATAGGCATAAGACATTTCCCTCACTGCAGACAGTCCTGTTGCAGTTCCAAGATGGGAATTTGACCTTCACCACATGGAGGTAGGCCCAGCAATCTGAAAGCTGAGTAAGCCATACAAGTCATATTACCTAGCTACTATCCATGTTTATTACCTTTCACACCAAGCAATTAATAAAGTACTGTGAAGAAAGAGTTTTGCTCCATGCTTGGACCAGGGTGTTCAAGGGAGAAGAGAATCCACTAGGATGGCATGATAATGCCATCAATAATTATGAGATGTTTACTACATAGAAATTCTTCCTCTATAACTAAGTTCAAAGGATTTCCTATTTTTTTTTAATGGAAATGGTGATTTCCTTTAAAACTCACAAGGCATAATTTTGTTTTATGTAAAATTAAGCCTCAAAATCTTAGTCTTATTAAATTGACAATGTGCTTTTGGAGGGAAGATTCTAAGGCAAATATGCTGAAAAATGAGCATTTGTTCAATTTAGTAGTGGCTGCATGAATATTTTTTATATTATTTTTGTGTATACTTAAGAACGTTGTCTCTAAACATATATATATATATAATTTTTAAAAGTTAAATGTTGACCAAAATAATTTAATGATACCAAGATTGTTCATGAGGTAATTAAAACAATACAGGTCAAAAACAATATGTACAGCAGAAGAGTCAGTATAACACAGTGATTAAATGCACAAGCTCTAGCACCAGGTTGCTCTGGTTTTAATCCTAATATGCCACATATTAGCAATGAGACACTGAGCAAGTTATTTAATCTGTGTCTCAGTTTCTTCATCTGAAAAATAGGAATGATAATAATAGTACCTGCTCCATAGAGATATAATGATTAAGTAAACACTACACGTAAAGACTCTGATGCATGGTAGATGCTAAATAGGTGTTAATAGCTACTATTATTATGACACAAGTTGGGTTTCTTAATAAAGTACATACTATATACAGATAGAAAAAAAGTTTGAATGATTCATTAAAAATGTTAACACTTATAACCTCTGATAACAGATTATTTAAATTTTCTTCTTTTTCACTTATTTTCTGAACATTCTACAACGAGCACTTCCTTTTTTACTTAAAATAAGAGAAACACAGTAACAAGACATTTCCTAAAATTGCCCTACAATTTGGTAAGCCGTGATTCACAAAGTGAGAACCTTGGACCAGCAGGATCTGCAACCAGAAAACTTGCTAGAGATGTAAATTCTCAGGTTCCATCTCAGACATACTCATTCTAATATAATGTGTTTTACCAAGCCTTCCATTTGATTCTGATGCTCACTAAAGTTTGAGGACTACTGTGCAAAGGCGTAACTTGTAGTCTGTACTTGATCTCTCTCACCTTTATATACCCAATGATAAATATTGCCAATCTTTCTTCCCTGAGTGCTCTCTGGAACTCTTGTCACAAAGCCCTCCTTCCACTGTTGCACACATGGCTCATGAAGTTTCTCCATGAGTCTTTTGAGAATAACCCCTCCTGTCCCGAGTTACTGCCTGATGCAGAAATCCCAAATGCTTTCTGGGGCTAGGCAGGTAATTTGTCTCCTGGTGTAAGACCTTAAAGAATGAAGTGCTGGCCACTGCCCAAAGACATTCACATTAAAAAAAAAAAAAAATTAAATTGCTGCTAGCCCAATAAAAACACACCTAAGCCAAGTTTGGCTACTGGCCACTACTTCTTGGTCAATTCTCTTTCATATCAGTAAATAGCTGTGATGTCGCGGAAAGAGTGAATGCTGAACAAGGAAAACCTTTATTTGCAGCTCAGTTCTGCTTCTTCCTAGCTGGTGGTAATAAAAATGATGATAATGTTAACCTTTTGGAGTTACAATACTAACTATCTCACAGGAGTGTTTTAAAGATTAAGATAATATATTCAAAATACCTACCCTATAATAAGTCCTCAATTTTTCATAACACTTGTGATATATTTCCTCTACTTATATTTATGAACAATTTAGTTGAGCCTCTCTCTCTTCTATTAAACTCTAAGCTCCTTTGGCACAGAGATGGTATTTTACATCATTTTAAGTCCTTATACTACCTACTTCAGTAATTAGTCCCGGACATACTCAACCCAAGATTCAACCAAAGCTTGCAACTGTGTCGAACTGCATGTGGTAGGGATCTGGAACAACACAGTCACTTCTTAGTACAGATGTACAATTTATATGAGCAAGTATATGGTCAACTTATAAGAATCCCCAAAGCTATGACTCTCATCCTTAAATATATAAATATGAAACACCAAGCAGATGACTTCTGCTTTTACATTTACCATGCTTGTTAAAAGCAATATAGGAAGTTTAGAAGTGCCATACTAGAAATTATGAAAAAAAATGAATTTCAGTTTTAGCTGCATTTTGGCAATTCAGATACTGGGGTAATGCTGGAGTGATGGTGTTAGAAGAGATGTGGATCAGTGCAGGTAACATTAGATGACAAGTTCTTTTTTCCATATGGAATACTGAGACAAGAACAAGTTATCTACCCCACAAAGACCCTGTGAATGTTTATTAGGCAATTAAGAACATGGAATTTGGGAGGAAAAGGAAGGAAGCATATGAATCCTGGATAAACAAGTTAGAGGCTTTCTACACTCCTATGGCCTTATACAAAACAGTATGTCATATTTTTGCCATAACAAAACTTTTTTTTTTTTTAATTACTTTGTAGGTCACCATGCCTTCTAAGTGCTGGTAATAAAGAATTAATTCAAATGTTAGACTAGGCATGGTTAATTTCATTGCCCCTTTATTTATGCTAGCTTTCCTATTTTCTGAACTCTGACGGCATTTACAGATTTATTATATAATTGATTTTCAAGTTAAATGATCTAACTTAATTTTACAATTGCTTGGAAACTTATCTCCTCCCCTTCCCTCATTAATTATGCTTTATACCAGGGTATTTCTATTTCTTTCCCTAAAAGTATAATATTTAAAACTATAAGAAATATAGCAACAAATGAGTTTAAATAGCAAATTTTGTTTACAAAAGAACGTTCTTAACTACTCAAAATTCTATATGGGGAAATGAACACTGGACCAGTCAAGTGGACTGTGCTTGACAAGCCAGAGAAAGGCTTCTCATTTCTCCAGTGGGGTAGAAGTGGTTATTTTGTCAAGGTATGATTCAGAATGACATACTCAGATGCAATTTTAAAAAATCAACTTCACTATTCATATGTATCATCAACAGGGAAATCTGGCTTGGTGATGTAAAGGCATAAAAAAGCATGACAGTGTTAGAACTGTAGACTGCTGTCATTTCATGTGTGCTCCAAGGCTTTAATAATTCAATTCTTTGGATTCTGTATGAGAAAAATAAAGTTTTGCTGCTGGTATAACTTCTTAGTTGCAGCATAAAATAATTTCCATTAAAAGGGCATACACAATTTCTCCACTTATAAGCATTCAATTAAAAATCAGTTCCAAGACATATCTGTGTAGTTACCACCAAACTTTTGTCAGAATAAAAATAAACAATTTTTCCTTCATGAATTAATTCTGTGAGAAAAAATTTAAAAGGCTGAGCATGGTAAAGCCCATGCCTGTAATTCCAGCACTTTGGGAGGCTGAAGTGGGAGGACTGCTTGAGGTCGGGAGTTCAAGACCAGCCTGGGCAACATAGTGAGACCTTGTCTCTACAAAAAATTTTTTAAAAAATTAACCAGGTGTGGTGGTGTGCAAATAGTCCTAGCTACTTGGGAGGCTGAGGCTAGAAGTTTGACTTCTTGTTTGACTTCAACTGAGCCCAGAAATTTGAGGCTGCAGTGAGCTATGATCACACCACTGCCCTCCACCTCTAGCTTGGGTGACAGAGCAAGACTCTGTCTCTTAAAAAAAGAAAAGAAAAATATACCTTTCAAGATACATAACTTGTAATGAAGATCTATTATTATTATTATTATTTTTTTTTTTTTGAGTTGGAGTCTCACTCTGTCGCCCAGACTGGAGTGCAGCGGCCGCTCCCGGCCACCGCAGCCTCGACCTGCTGGGCTCCGCCAATCCTTCCGCCTCAGCCATCCGAGTAGCTGGAACTACAGGCGCGCGCTACCACGTCTGGCTAGTTTTTGATTGATTGTAGAGATGAGGTCTCGCCAAGTTGCCCAGGCGGGTCTCAAACCCGCGGGCTCAGGCAATCCACTCATCTCAGCCTCCCAAAGGCGCGGGATTACAGGCTGAGCCACCGAGCGCAGCTTAAAGATCTATTATAAAGGTAACAATATTTATGCGCAGGCCAGGTACAATTGACTAGAAAATAATTAACACTCAAAGGATTTTTCTTTCAAATACATAATTGTTTTGGAAGGAAACTGTAAACAATTATTAGGTGTAAATCAGAACGAATACCCTTTATGAGTATCTTATCTTACAGAAGATTCAATTCAAAGCATCAGAGTCTATTTACTAAAACAAACAAAAAACTCAAATGATTTCACGGACTGCACTGATGCCTCTATTTTGTGCCAAGTGTTTACAAAATGTCACTTATCTAAGGTAACACTAAGGTTTCAGAAAGCAAGAATTTCCAGAATATGTGAAAGGGGCTGATTGTATTAAAAATTATTAATAAAATAACACTAGCTTTCAACTAATATATTAAGTTTTGCATGAAGAAGCAGTTTCCTAGCACACAACTGATAGAACAAAAATTGGTGCCTCCTTAATGCTAAATAAACATCCCTGAGTCACTAAGGAAGACCCCGAGGCCGAGCAAAATATTTGAGCATCACAATTTGTTCTTTTGTAGGAAGTAGTGTAAAAAGCACCTTCTGGGTGTGAGAATGGACTCCCTGGAATTCGGCCAAGTCACTTAATTCCTTTAGTCTCAGTTTTCCTAATTGTTTTTTTAATTTCTATTTTTCACCTCTTGGCGCTTTCACGTCCAAATTTCCCTAAATGTAAATGAAGTAAACAACACCTGGTTAAAAAAAAAAAAAAAAGGCAGTACAGGACTGGTGTGAGGATGAGATGACATACGCGAACATATTGTGTAAACTATAAAGTAATAGTAATCAAAAGCTGGTTATATTTTATGTAATAATGGCCTTACCTTTCCTGCCTGTGTCCCTATCTGTAAAAGGGTACATACAGGTTGAGGTCTGAATGTCTATCCAGTCATTTAGCGGCTGCGTAAGCTTGAGCAAATCATTTCCATTCTGGGCCTGTATCCTAAGGAGGTTGTCTGGAAGATCAAATGATACCGTGTATGTAAAATGCTGTACCAGACTAACAACTTAACAAATGATATCTGTTATTATTCTCTGGGTGTAGGGTTGTAGGAGCAAACGAGATTATATCTAATTAAAAGTCTTCCTCTCTCTCTACATATCTCTCTCTCTCTAGACATCCAAGGTATGTTTGTACTGCAAACTGCCAAGACATAAAGGGAATGAGAAACCAAATGGCGCTTCAACGACTCACACCAGACGGAGAGAGGCAGAAAAGGGAGGCTCAGGCGCCTCCCAGAAGGTGGCTTGGAATAGCGGTAGGAATGAGAATAGAGAGGTGGGGCAGAAAAGAGACTGAAGAGACACTCCGAGAATCAATTCACTATTTCCCCTTTTTCTTTTGACCTCCAGCCTGGGCTAGACCCTTTCATTCAGTTTCCCAGCCCACCATAGCCCTGGGCATTTATTTACTGTACCTTCTTCATCGAGGGCCTTTCCACTCCCCTCCCCTTCTAGCAGTGGTGAACTTCAGACCCTCTGCTTCGACGCCCACTCCCTTCAATTCTGTTTTTACCAAGGTTTGTATCCTCCCCAGCGCCTAGGAGGGAAGTGCAACTGGACGCACCGCAGGGCATCCTAGGAAATGTGGTCTCTTGGACTCTTTTCCTCGGGCAGCAGACTGGGGGAAGACGGCAAGGAAGGTACCGTTGAAACTACAACTCCCGGTAGGCAACACGAGTCCCCAACTTCCTTTCTGCCCCCCTTCCGATTATCGTCCTCTTCCGCCTCTCCGCCGGAGCTGGACCGCTTGGTCTCACGGTATTTGTAGTTCACTGTGGACCCAAGCTCCTAGCACTCGACGGCCAGTAGAGGGGCTAGAGGACTCTAATTCCCAGAGGGCAGAGCGGAAGCCGCGCCTGCGCACTCCCAGTGGGGGCGTGTATGTCTGTGTGTCTGAGGGAGAGGGAGAGAGAGCGAGAGTGAGTGAGTGTGAGTGCGGGGTGGGGTGGTGGCCGTTACGTTCGGGGCAACGGCCAGCAGTGGAGAAGTAAGAAGAGAAATAACGTCCGGCGCTTCCGCCTTCGCTTAGGAGGAGGAGGAGCTGGTAGGGAAAGGAAAGTGATTCGCCCTGGGCCTGGACGAGACCAGGTCGGGTCGGTGGAGGTCTGGGCTATGAGCCTTTGAGGGTCGCTTGGGACGCGGAGCGAGACTCGAGAGCCGAGAGCTATGTCTCAGCCGCCGCCGCCGCCTCCGCTGCCGCCGCCACCTCCTCCCCCCGAGGCTCCGCAGACTCCGCCGTCCTTGGCGGCGGCGGCGGCGGCTGCGCCGGGGGGACTCTCGAAGCGGAGAGACCGGCGAATCCTTTCCGGGAGCTGCCCGGATCCGAAGTGCCAGGCGCGTCTGTTCTTCCCGGCCTCGGGTTCTGTCAGCATCGAGTGTACCGAGTGCGGACAGCGGCACGAGCAGCAACAGCTGCTGGGGGTGGAGGAGGTGACCGACCCGGACGTGGTGCTGCACAACCTGCTGCGGAACGCGCTGCTCGGGGTGACGGGGGCACCCAAGAAGAACACGGAACTGGTAAAGGTGATGGGCCTTTCCAACTACCACTGCAAATTGTTGTCGCCCATATTAGCTCGCTATGGAATGGACAAACAGACAGGCCGGGCCAAGCTCCTCCGGGACATGAACCAGGGCGAGCTGTTCGATTGCGCTTTGCTGGGTGACCGCGCCTTCCTCATAGAACCAGAGCATGTTAACACGGTGGGCTACGGCAAGGACCGCTCCGGAAGCCTCCTGTATTTGCATGACACTCTCGAGGACATCAAGCGGGCCAATAAAAGTCAGGAGTGTCTCATTCCAGTGCATGTGGACGGGGATGGACACTGCTTGGTGCATGCTGTGTCTCGGGCTCTGGTAGGCCGGGAGCTCTTCTGGCATGCCTTGAGAGAGAACCTTAAACAGCACTTTCAGCAGCACCTGGCCCGGTATCAAGCTCTGTTCCATGACTTCATTGATGCTGCTGAGTGGGAGGATATTATCAATGAGTGTGACCCTCTGTTTGTACCACCTGAGGGTGTTCCCTTGGGCCTGAGGAATATTCACATATTTGGCCTCGCCAATGTGTTACACCGTCCTATTATTCTGTTAGATTCCCTCAGTGGCATGAGAAGCTCTGGTGATTATTCAGCCACCTTTCTGCCTGGGCTCATCCCTGCGGAGAAGTGCACTGGGAAAGACGGTCATTTGAACAAACCAATCTGTATTGCATGGAGCAGCTCTGGTAGAAACCATTATATCCCCTTGGTAGGCATAAAAGGGGCAGCTTTGCCCAAACTGCCTATGAATTTGCTTCCTAAAGCATGGGGTGTGCCTCAGGACCTCATTAAGAAGTACATCAAACTTGAGGAAGATGGTGGTTGTGTTATTGGAGGAGACAGAAGTTTGCAAGATAAATACTTACTTAGGCTTGTTGCAGCTATGGAAGAAGTCTTTATGGACAAACATGGTATCCATCCTAGTTTGGTTGCTGATGTCCATCAGTATTTCTACAGAAGGACTGGAGTGATAGGCGTTCAACCTGAAGAAGTCACAGCAGCTGCTAAAAAAGCGGTAATGGATAATCGCCTTCACAAATGTTTGCTCTGTGGTGCCCTTTCTGAACTTCATGTTCCTCCAGAGTGGTTGGCTCCAGGAGGGAAACTGTATAACCTGGCAAAAAGTACTCATGGACAGCTGAGGCCTGACAAAAATTATAGCTTTCCCTTGAACAATTTGGTTTGCTCATATGATTCGGTGAAAGATGTTCTGGTACCAGACTATGGGTTGAGTAACCTAACAGCTTGTAATTGGTGCCATGGCACATCTGTGCGAAGGGTCAGAGGAGATGGATCTATTGTATATTTGGATGGAGACAGAACTAATTCTAGGTCCACTGGTGGAAAATGTGGTTGTGGATTCAAACATTTTTGGGATGGTAAGGAGTATGACAATCTACCAGAAGCTTTCCCTATTACTTTGGAATGGGGTGGGAGAGTGGTCAGGGAGACAGTATATTGGTTCCAGTATGAAAGTGATCCATCCTTGAATAGTAATGTTTACGACGTTGCAATGAAACTTGTGACCAAGCACTTTCCAGGTGAATTTGGGAGTGAAATCCTAGTTCAGAAAGTTGTCCACACTATATTGCATCAGACTGCCAAAAAGAATCCTGATGATTATACTCCTGTAAATATAGATGGTGCTCATGCCCAAAGAGTTGGAGATGTACAAGGACAAGAATCAGAGTCTCAGCTCCCAACTAAAATTATTCTTACTGGACAGAAAGCAAAAACTTTGCACAAGGAGGAGTTAAACATGAGTAAAACTGAAAGAACTATTCAACAGAATATTACGGAACAGGCTTCTGTAATGCAGAAACGGAAATCAGAGAAGCTAAAACAAGAACCAAAAGGGCAGCCCAGAACTGTTTCTCCTAGTACTATTCGTGATGGTCCATCCTCTGCACCTGCTACGCCTACCAAGTCTCCCTATTCACCTACAACTTCTAAGGAGAAGAAGATCCGAATAACAACTAATGATGGACGACAGTCCATGGTTACACTTAAGTCTTCAACAACCTTTTTTGAACTTCAGGAAAGTATAGCCAGGGAATTCAACATTCCTCCATATTTACAGTGTATTCGATATGGCTTTCCTCCTAAAGAGTTAATGCCACCACAGGCAGGAATGGAAAAGGAGCCAGTTCCTTTACAGCATGGTGACAGAATTACAATAGAGATTCTAAAAAGCAAAGCTGAAGGTAGTCAGTCTGCTGCAGCACATTCAGCCCACACTGTGAAGCAAGAAGATATTGCTGTTACTGGTAAACTGTCATCTAAGGAACTTCAGGAGCAAGCTGACAAAGAAATGTACTCCTTGTGTCTTTTAGCAACATTAATGGGTAAGATCAATTTAATTCACATTGTGTATCTTAATTGTAAATATAATACATTAAGTTTTTCTCTTTGGGGGGCACATCTGTGGTCATTATAAATATTTAATTATATATTTTAGGAGAAAATTATTTTTGATGTTTTGGCAGTTAATGGGTAGATACTAATATGATTATTGAGTAACCATTAGGAAAACAACTAGAAAGTGAAAGTAGTCTCTCAACTGTCATCAGATTATTTAAACATATCTTTGCAATTTTCTTTTTAAAACAGGCTTGGAAGGTATCTATTTAAAGCCTTTTAATTTTTTAAAAGTTTTTTTGTAGGCTTTATTGAGCTGCCTCTCCTGCCCCTTTTTCATTTATTTTTAATTTTTATTTTCCTGCCTGTCATGTGATTTCAGGACTTCCTGTTTGATGAATTGCAGTTTCTGGTGTTTATATTTTCACTGTATTCCTTCCTAATAGTCTCTCTCTTCGATTTCATGCTCTGGCTTCCCCAGTTCAACACATTTTTCTTATCTGTACACTAGGATTAGTATTTAATTTTAGTGCTCAGTAAGTCTTTGCCATAGACTGTAATGAACAATTATACCTTATTAGAAACGTAAGAAACAGATAGATGGAATGGGGTTAAGAAGTATTTCCTTTTAATAATTCATAAATTAAAGGAAATATGTAATTTAAAGCTTTAGATAATTCGGGATACTGTCCAGAGGTGCATTTTTGCAGTATCTTTGTTTGCTTAATGTTTGGTTTAAAATCACTGTCAATATGCTTTACTAAATTTTAAAGAATGAAGTGAGATTTAAATACATTAGATATCGGAGGGACCTTATTTTTGCTGGGATTAGAAATTTGAACTAGAAAAGGGATCTGGGTTTTGATTATGTTTGCTGAGAGTGTTAAATGTCAGTGAATTGGGCTTTGACCTACCAGAATGAATGTTATTTACTCCTTGCCTATAATGAATATTATTATTATTATTTTGAAAGTAGGATTTATTGAGAGGACAGAAAAGCCCCCACTGTGGGAGGGGGGACCCACGGGGGTTGCCCTATTATTATTTATTCTTTATTGGGGGCCTAGTACTTATAGAGGATCTGAAAAACCTGCACAAATGTATAACTTGATATTGCTGATTTTAATTTGGCAGACATAGTAATTCAGATGGAGGATATGTCAGGAACTGTCCTAGGCACTTTGCGTATTTATTTCTACCTATCCAGAGTTTCTGGTTTCTTAGAGACTGCATGGGATAGAGGAAAAGACTAATCTTTGGAGTCAGAAAGACCTAGAATTTGAATCTTGGCTCTACTACTTTATTACCTTAGTGATTTCAGGCAAGTTCTTAATTCCAGAGGGCTTCAGTTGCCTCCCCCATACAAAATATCCTTTGTAGCTGGTGTGTAAGGCCAAAGTATACCTAGAACTCTGAAAATTAAATAACATCCTCACAGAATGAATACAATTAGATACATGTGGAAGGTACTTTAAAAGACCAGCAATTTCTCAGGTCAAAAACAGGAAAAAGAAGGCCTTCCTCAGTAGAAGATGAACTCTTGAGTTTGTGGCTCATATCTTCTCTAACCTTGTATGCTCAGTGACTAGTATAGTGCCCAGCAGGTAGTAGGTACTTTGAAATGTTTTTGACTGAATTAAATAG